GGAAGAAAGGTGAAAGATACCTCAATACATAAGCACCTACCATGAAGCATGGGGGAGGCAGTGTAATGGTTTGGTGGTGTTTTTCTGCTGAGGCGACAGCAGATATTTGCAAAATAGATGGAATAATGGACCAGCACAAGTACCATCAGATACTGGTATACCCAGTGGTTTGTGTATTATTGGTAAAGGATTCTACTACCAAAAAGATAATGACTCCAAACACTCATCCAACCTATGCAGAAATTACTTAGCTAAGAAAAATTTGCTGGAGTCTTTCAAATGATGCAATGGCCACCACAGAGCCCCGATCTCAAACAAATTGAGCAGATCTGGGATTTCATAGATCAAAAACTTGACAAATCAAATGTTACTTCTAAAGAAACTTTATGGGAGTGTACTAGAGACAAAGTAAAGTCTCAAAAGACATTTTGGTTAAATATATTGCAACAGTGCCTGAAAGACTGTCTGCAGGTATTAAAGCAAAAGGGACACACACAAAATATTAACTGTTTGCTGAACTCAAGCACTTCCACCGAGTTTCTATTGTACTAAATATGAAGATTAATAACATTTTGATATTTCACCTGTGATTTACCTTCCATTGTTCTTTGAAAGTAGCCTGAAATCTAATTTTTGACTTTATCCTAACACTTTTATACAGTACTGTACTTTAATTTCTTTTGAGAGACTTGAGTTGATCTGTGTTGTGAATAATTTGATTCTGGTGGCTGGAAGGTGAAGACTGTAGCTTATTTTTCGATCTCTGAACTTGATCCTTTTTATCTTGCATGGTGACCTAGGCAATATGTAACATAATTGTGCACTCTATCATAATGGGAAAAAGGATGTTGCTGTTGTTGGCATTGCTCAGGAAGCACCACGAGGAGGTAACAACCTGACTTTGCTACCCAGGAATAAAAGTAAAAGAGGCTATCTCAAGATATTTTTCCATGATATCTCAAATAAACAACTTTTATTCACCTTGTGCTTATCCCCCATAATTATTTTTAACATGGTTATAGAAAAGGATCTCCTTCCCTTACTGCTATATAAGACTAATGCATTGGTGCTGTTATAGGATCTTTTTTTTTTTGCATGAAGACATCCCAGCTGATGTTATTTATCTTGTCATTCACATGTTTCAGAAAGCTTTTGATATTTGAGTGCTTAAGAGATTGGTGGAAAAATTAAGAAGTAAAAAAAAATTGGGTTAAGGATAGAAACCAATTTGTGATATTTTCTAACTGGGAAAATGTGACCAGTGGGGTTGTATCAAAGGCTGAGTTTTAGGACTTTTGTTGTTCATTATTCATGTTAATGATTTGGGTGGATTCTTGGAGTAATATATATATACATCTTCCAATGATATAAAGATGATGCGAAGAGTGATTTGTTAAGAATATTTTATTTATTCAAAAGACCCTTAACTGTCTTAGAGAATGGGTCATAACGTACTATGTAAAATAATAGTTTTATCACTGAAGGGTACAGTTATTTGGGGCATGGAAATTTTGAAATGATTTATTATTTGTATGATAGAAACATTGTTTATGCAAAAGAAAAAAGGGTTTAGGTGTGATGATGGATAAAATTTCTAAATCCTAATTGATAAGTATTTAATTGTGTGTGAGGATCAAAAGAAGCTATTAGGTCTAATTATAAGTATTTGAATTTAAGAAAATCAAGGGTCATAATGAAGTTGAAGGATGGTACAAAGACTTGTACAAGTTGGTAGAAATTGGGGAAGGGAATATGCCTTCCTGAAATGTATAGTGATGATGATTGTGAGATATCATCAGTAGGATCTTTAATTCTGACTGTGATACATTTCGATTTTTACTCCAGGCAAACAACTGTTTGCATATAAGTAAATAAAAATAAAATAAAATCCTGTACAGCTAAAGCCCCAGTGTGTGAATAAAAATTGATATTTTCTTGTTCTTTGCTGTCAAAGTTTGATTTGTTCTTTGCTTAACTAAATAAAAATTTGCTGTGTATTGCAATTACTTGGTACCTGTTAGATATCAGTAAACCTGAATATTAGACTAATAGCAGAAAAATATGGAATCTCAAATGTTATACAACTTTTGTCTGATTCAATGAATTTTACATTTCCCATTGAAATAAATGTCCAAATTTGGCATCAACTACCACTGATTCTTTCAGAATGCTCTAGTTTTAATATTTAACACACTGTATTATTTACAATCTAGTTCAATGAAACACACACATGTATATACTGTATGCTAGTACCCACATTAAGATCACTGTATTAGTATAAGAAGTATTAACCTGAATGGTTAAATAGATATTGGATGGCTTGTAATGTAAACATAGTATTCAATATTCTGTGTACTATTGGTAAGAGTTTTTTGATGTCATTGCATGATATGCATAATGCATGAATGAAACCATTTTATTAAATCATTCACCAGCTAACTAGAAATTTACAGAGGTGTTTGAAGGGTATGACAAAACAATTGAAGAATGTGATAATGTCAAAACAGCACAGTTAAACAGCCAAATTGTAAAGATTTTCTGAGTTACATAATAACCACCATTGTTGGGCAATATTACTAGCACGAGTAATATATTACTTATTACTGAAAATAGGAGTAATATCACTTGCAAACAAAAACAACATCAACTAATTCTACGAGATGTTACTGGCAATACTAACTCTGGTGTGTTTTGCATAACCATGGGTAGTTTCTGTGTTTGTTGGAAAATAATGAAGAAAACATATAAAACTTATGCACCTGTGTATAAGTAGAATTTCTAAAGGAAGAAGTTTATCAATGATATTAAGTTTCAAAAAAAAGAAAAAAGACTGTACAATGGATTCCTAAGTTGTATGATGTTAGGTGTGATGTTAAATTCACACATGATGACTAGACAACAAAAAAGTATTTGGTAAGCAACTTTTGGTTATGTATTGTAAATAACAGCCCCATTAATAATCTTTACAAGAAAATATTCAAGTATTTTAGCTAAATGAAAAAACAACTTAAGGATGGTATTGTTTCAGCTAACTTCTCTTTAATTAAGAAGCCTTCCCAAAGTGATCTTGCCAGAGCAGAGAGCTAAGAAGAAAATAGAGAATGAGGTTACTGTCACACTCATAAAGAAACAAGAAAAGCAAGACTTGCATTCTGAAGCATATATGAAGGTAGAGATTGAAAATAATGAACTGCTTCAAAGAGTATTCACATCGAATAAATTAAATGCTATTCATATGGAAGGAATTACAAGCTGTGCAAAAACTTATGAAATTTTGAAAAAACAATTGCATAGTTAAAACAACTGACATCAGTAGCTATATAAAAGCTCGCTTTTTGATCACAAACTTCCAGTTGAGCATAGTAGGCAAGAGAGTTTAAGAGGATATAACTTTTAAATCAATAAGTTAGAATTTAATACTTGTATGTTATTGTGTTGAAATTATTTATACAATTAGAGTGGAGTGATATATTAAGATTAAAGTTTGAAATATTAACTGTTGTTTGAATGTTATTCCATTAACATTTTGATCAGTCATATTTTCAAGTCTTCTGAATCTATAAAATGTTTGTAAGGTTATATTTCTCAGTTGGTTTGAATTGCTGTTAAAATATATAAAAATATTTATGACTTCAGACTTGGTTAAAGCAGTTATTTTGGAATGTCCGAAATGCTGTTCACATGATTAAAAATTAGAATTGAAAAATAAAATTAATGAGAATGTTTTATTATTATATTTATTTCAGTTTCATGCTTTTTCAAATAATTAACTTACATTGTTAAGATTAACTTTTTTGTACTCTAATACATTACAATAAATAATGTTATGGTCTCTAATACACTGCCAAGTAGAGAAGGAAATTTAAACCACTACAGGACATACATTACAATTAAGAAGCAATATACAGTACATAACACTTAATGTAATGTTTATCCAAAAAGGTTTTAACTTTGGCACTAGATTACTCAGACAGTGCTGTTTATCAAATCTGACTTGTGTAACTTTAGTGCACATTATGAAATATATAAGTTCTCTACCAGCCACTGCTTAACCTAATGAGTTTTCTTCAGCTGGAGCAATTACATTTTCTCTCTGTTCTTAAGGACATTTCACCTCCACAAAAACATTGTCTCTTATCAGGCAACCAGGAGATACTGCCAGATAAGGATGATGGGATTGATAAATTAGATCACATGGCTTGACCTACATTCCAAACTCTTGGAACCAGGTATATACAGCATTAGTTACTTCTTATGCTTTTAGTTTTATTAAAAGGTATTCAGTAGATGCAGCTTTTTTTCTATGTTACCATACATGAAAATAAACTGTACCTGACAAATTCAGATTAGAAAATAACTAATATGTAACTTGTTGATATTTAGAAAAAAAAAACCTGCATAGCACATTCATAGCTATATTGTTTCTAGATTTTTGTGAATGCACATTGACAAGGTTTCTATATTTTAAGTGTGTATTATGAATATGTTCAGTGAAATAATGATCACAGTGACTTCTCTGCAGAGTCGTGTATCATAATTAAGTTATACAAATATATATAACCAAATGCTATGCTATTCTTTGAAAATAGAACTAATATTAAATCAAATAAAAATCACAAATAATCTCACCTTTCTAGAAGGACAATTTTCTTACTGTGGTTCTGCTTATCTTCTACGTCTTTCAGCTGAGAGCAGCTCAAATGCAAAAATGCATCCACTGCCATAATTAAGCAGTCTGGAAACTACTTTGATTGTGATGTTAAAGATTCTATTTCAAGATTCCCTATTATATTACATATTATATTATTTTTTGCTAAAATTTACATTTTGTCAAAAAATTATTTAATTTGAAATTATTTGACAGTATATATTTTAATGCTTATCATAATCACAAGCCAAATATATTTTTCTTGACACTCAGAAATTGTGACTTAATCAATTTAAATATGTGATGTTGATGTTCGCATTAATCATATATTAGACTGTTCAAATGCACTTTTTTCCTAACACGATGTTGTTCTGGCATCATCTCCCAAAACCTCAAAAGAATTCCAGTATTTTCAACCAAGAAATGAGATGCTTGTCCACATTTTAAATTTCAAGAAAAGCAATAAACAAAAACAAAGAAACAGTGAGTAGGAAATATGTTTAGAGTACCATTTAGAGATTAGTGAAACAAAAGTTTGGTAGCATTATTGAATACTGCAGTCAAGAGTAAAGTTTGGTAACATGAAAGAACATTATTATTTGAAATAAATAAATAAAAATGTGTTATAACTAGAATTAATGTAACTAGTAATATTAATTTTGAAAATAATGCAATTGATTAGTCCATTATTCATAAAAGTAATTACTACAGTAACACATTACTTTGGTATGTGTTACCTCAGCACTAACTACTGTAAGTGAAAACTTTATAATTTTGTTTAAAATAACTTAGAGAAGAAAATCTAACATTTTGTCACATCCCTTAAAATGTGCCATTTTGTCTGTTTATTTCATAAAATTTTAAAGGGACAAAAAGGAGTTTATTAGCCCATCAAGGATGTCCCTTCCAGCTCCCAACTATAACCAGCCCTTACTACTCACATATTCATCCAATCTGTTCTTGAACTCAGTTAAATTTTCTGCCTCCACCACCCTTGAAGGCAGCTCATTGGTAGGATACAAGATAATTTTTATGCTCTAGTTCCAGAATTTTATTAAAGCCATTGATAAAAGGCTTGCAAGCTGTTCAAAAAACTAAAGATGACAAAGACTGCCACAGTACAAAGAGATGTAGATGGCAATCCTGCCCAAGTCAAAAAGGACATGATTTTAAAAATTGCAACTGTGGACTTAAAAGAAAACAATTGTTCAGAGATAATATAAAGATCCTGACAACAAGGGTTAATTTGTTATCAGCTGTTAAAATTAAAGCTAGGCCTCGGTGTATGAATAATCTTGGGAGCATTTAGCACAAAGTTACTGCTTAGTGAAATTACAAAAATACTTAATAAAGATGAAACAGTATGCTTCATTTGACTGAATGTCTTATGCTGTATATAGATATAGTAAGTTCCCATGAATCTTAGTATGTTTAGTAAGATCACATATGCCATTTAGAATGACATACCTGTACTGCTAAATCATACTAAAAGGCACTACTTTGAAAGATAGTGTCCTATCTTTGAGAGAACTAGAATCTATATAGTTTGTCGATGGATGGCTCTGAACACATAGTCAAAAGTGAGGTAAGCTCATGACAGATTACATTGTATATCCTCTTGGCATAGAACTCCTAGCTAATGTAGAAGAATTATTCTTGTCAAATATGTGCAGTGAGTGATTTATTTTTTACTTAAAACAGTATGCTGCATAAAACCAGGACTAAATCACTAGCTTGGAAGGGGATTATAAGGTTAATAACAAGGTGTGGAGAACGATGAAGTTTCTTATTGATCAGAGATGCAGACACAGCTGGCCTTGTTTGTTAGTGAGAGATACAAAATATGGGTTTAATGATGTGTCACCCATTGTTAATAAGCTAGAGAAATGTAATCCAATTGTTTACCCCAGAGTCCATTATGTTTCACTAAGAACTGAAGGTGCTTTTCGACTGTCACAGTCACTGTTCTGAGGAAGGTTAGTCTGAGCATGTGTACATAATATACCATTCATTAGAGAATTAATAAGGTAGACTGTCACAGTTGTTATTATGAGGATGATTAATCTGAGCACACATACACAGTATACCATTAATATAAAGAAATTAATAAGATGGACTATGACAGTTGTTGTTCTGAGGAAGATTAGTCTGAGCACATGTACCATTATGCCATTCATTCAAAGGATTAACAAGGTATTTTTAATGCCGTCCAGTGTTTCTGATGAGAAGCTGCAGTCAGAAGAGATGGTATGATGTCAGTGATGTATTGACAACTTGATTGTTTGTGTTTTGTTCAGATATGGTGTTTCAATACATCATTAACAGAAAGAAAGGTGCAATGGCAAAGATGTATGATGTGGTATATCTTAAAGTATAGGCATACCAAACAAAAGTTTACTTTTCTCTGGTTGTGATGGTACTGTGATAAAGCAGTTTTTCACTAACTGCTGGCCAAATCAAATTACAACTTTTTAAGAAAAGAGGCTGATCCCAACTATGGCATACGAAACAGGGTAATTGATAGATGGTCATTTGGCCTATTAGTGTCGCCCCCCCCCCCCACACAAACATAAACTTTTAATTTTAATCCAACTTAATTATTGTCCTTCACGTTAATATACTTATCCAAAAACATTGCTAAGAAATTAAATGCCCAGGAAAGAGAATCTGTTTATTAAGTAATGAATTTCAAAAAAGACCCACAACTTGAGCATTTTTGAGTAGTTGACTGAAGATCAATAGCCAAGTATTCTAAAGTGCTCAAGTTTTTGGGTCTTTTTTTTTGAAATTCATTGCACCTTTTGTGTGTGCAATACTGTGTGCTCTTTTATCAAAATGTCTATTAAGTGTATACTTACAACCACTGACAAAAGTGTCCAATATCAACCTATAAGTCAGAAGGTCAGTCTACCCCCATCTAACTTGTTGATCTAACTTATAGCTTATGCTAATATATTTAGAAGAAGGATAATGACTGGAACAGTATTATATTTTTATTATATATTGCATACCTAATGGAATGCCATTTCACAACAAAATATTTATTTTCCAGAACAGTGAAGTTAAAAACAGCTCCTAAGTTTTGTGCAGATTAAAAATGAAAATGTGGACAGTCCTTATTCTAGTCAGGCTTTTGTTGGTAATTTTACCACAGACTGGTTACTTGCATCCAGATGAATTTTTTCAGTCTACTGAGATAATGGCAGGTAAGCTTAATTACATAGGCCTACATATCATGTTTTGTTAGTTTTTATTGTTTTATGTGATACAATACCAAAATACTTAACACCACTTACTGCAAATGTATGAAAAAAATACTACTTCGTAATGAACATTATGTGCACAGTAACTATCAATGAATTTTAGATGTGCTAGCTGTAGGTAAATATTTATTGAGAATAAGTTTTATTTTTAGTTGTTTGTCTGACAAGAGTAGTATGTATTTTTGAAGTCAGTTGTATAAGAATAGAGATATTAACAAATACTGAAAACATTTTAAAGTCCTGAAACAGAAGGTATACTAGTAGGCATAGGCAAACATTTCAAATGTTTATACTAATTACAGTTAAACACAAGTATCTCTTACCTGATTGATTAGCTGTGTGGTATTATTTTAAGTTGTTGAAAAGTACTTTACTCTCTCAACTGGTAAAGCACTTGTTTGGAGTGTGACAGGTCTTTGGTTCAATTGATACCAAGGCAAGAAAATGAAATAAATATTATTAACAGAAAAAACATTCTTAGCTTTAACTTTCCAACATTATTACTCTTTTAGGAAGTGATTCAGACTTGAATGAAAAATTAGTAAGCTCTACACACGATATAATTAGAAATGACTTATGTATTTACATAAGTAGGCAAATGATATCAAATAGAAGATTTTTTGTTGTTCTTGGATGTTGTCAAGCTTATACCATTATTAACAATGTAACAGACTCCATCTAGATAGCCCTAATATTATGTGAAAGTTTGAGGAATATGTGATGAATCTGATTGGAAATAAATATTGATCTTGTTACTTAGAAAGCATCATAAAGATGTTTGATTCTGACATTATTATATGATCTATGGGATGATAATAATACATTATGTAAGCCAACTAAAATTATCATGGTATCTTGAATAGCTTTTAAAATAGTCCTGTTACCATGTTAGATATGGTTTTAAATTATAATAATTCTTTATTATCGATATTTCAAGTTAGTTTTGTGTGAATTACCTGAATATCTTTTTTTTTTCTTATAGGGAATATCTTTGGAATGAACATCACTGCAGCTTGGGAATTTAACACCAGCTTTCCTATGAGGAGTGTTACCTTTACTTATATCATTGTAGGAATACCATATATTTGTTTAAAGACTCTGAGTGATATATTCAGTTTTGTGCCCTCTGGCTATGTGATGGTTGTATTACCTCGTCTTATCATTACTCTTTTCTCCCTTCTTCACGACTGGTGGTTGTACAAGCTATGTTGCATGTATCGTAAAGATTATGTTTCATGTTTAACATTGTTCTGTAGTTCATACGTATGTCTTGTATTCTATACAAGAACTTTTAGCAACACAGTGGAAGCTTTATTCATGTCAGCACTTTTGTATGTTGTTGGAAAAGCCATGTATCTACATGACTATCATAAAAAGGGAAAGAGTAAACAGGAAAGTAAACAAATTGAGGATTCATCTATACAGGTACCTTATGGAACAAATATAGTAGCAGTTATTATAACAGGTGGATTTTTCAATAGACCAACATTTCTGCTATTTGCAACAACTCCAGTTTTATTCTGGATTCTTACTGGACTTGACCTTTCTTGGTCAAGTTCAACAAAGCTACTGAAAAGACTTGCAAGTCTTGTTCCTTTAATGTCGTTAACAGCATTACAGTTGATTTTAGTGGACTCCCTATATTACACAGAGCTTTCATTTTCAAACTTGATGACATTCCAAAAGGACTGGACTAAACTGTTAGACCATGTGGTGATCACTCCCATTAACTTTATCATTTATAACACTAATAGAGAGAACTTGAAAGAACATGGGTTGCATCCCTGGTACCTTCATCTGTTTGTTAATATTCCACTGTTGTATAGTGTACTAGGTCTTTGCAGTTTTTGGCAGTATATATCAACAATGAAAAAACTTATTACCAGCAAACTAACTTGTCAGCTCAGTGCTATTACAGGGTTAATGATATCATCCATCTTCTTTCCTGTACTTACTTTATCAGCATTTCCACATCAAGAACCAAGGTTTCTTATCTCTCTATTGATGCCATTAGCATTTCTTTGTAGTGAAATGGTATTCAATAAATTTTTTTTTACTTTCTTCTGGTGTTTTACTAATGTGCTGTGCACAATATTTTTTGGGTTTCTGCATCAAGGAGGGTTAGTACCATGTCTTTTAAATCTTCAAAAAATTGTGGATTTGAAAGCACGTGATAACCATGTTGTATTTTTTCACACATACATGCCACCCCAGCATCTCATGAGAAGTTATTTGATAGATGATCATCAATCTAATATTCAAATTCACGATCTTGCTGGAGGAGGTACAGAAGAATTAAAGGCTAAAATCAGTACACTGCTGAATGATCCTCAGAATAAAAATACTTTTGTTTACCTGGTTATACCAGGAACATTGAAAAACATAACTAATGAGATGCTGAAGAAGTCCAAGGATAAAGGTCTGTTCAAAATAGAACTTGAAACTATTGGTAAGTTTTTTCCACATCTTAGTATGGAAGATCCTCCTCATCTGCAACATCTCAACATTCGAAAAAACACTACAAGTCTAGTGGATGAACTTGTCACTTTGTTCACGTTATATCTGTTTAAAGTTAGCTAATTAGATGATTAGAGAAAATATATTGTCACTCTGACAATTATAGTTAAACTTTGATAGTGTTTGTCAAAATATCATGTTTCGTTAACTTATAAATTATTTATAAGCATCCTATTTTTAGAAAAAGGCTAGGAGTAAATAGATACTTTATTTTCTTGAGAGAATATTATGAAATAAAATGAGTTGTTACTAATGTTATCTGGTTAAAATAACAAGGTGAAAGTAGAGACAATGACAACCAGGTAGTTTTTAAATTTCTAGCTGAAATTATCACTGGACAAAAATACTTTGTTTCAATTTTGTCCGACATTTATATGATAAAGTTAGGGATGGTGCATATTCTGTACTCTGAAAATATTTACCATTATTTTTGGGATAATGATGAATTATAATAAAAGTATAATGAAAATAAATATATTTTTCTTTGGAAATTGTTTAAAACTAGTCACGTACATATTCTCTAGTCACGTACATATTCTCTATGTGTGTGTATATATATATCAAAACTTCAAGTGAACATAAAAACTAAATTGTAGTTTAGTTTCTAGAAAAGCACAAGTGTAAATACATGCATCTTTTTTCATGAATTTCTCATTCAGGCTTTTTGTGATATAAAGTAGTATTAAATATAATGTTTTTAGGATTGAACAGATGTTTACAGATTGAAGGAAATGATAAGTTACTAACACAATTTAATAGTCCTTTACTTAGTTTGAAGTTAACAGCAATGTGTTTAAAGATTTAACCACTTTTCTAAACTACAGCTATTAGAAAATGAACACAAAGTTTCACATTTAAGAACTTCATAGTAAAGTGAGAACACATCTGAGGAAATCTAAAATGTTTTTGACTAGGACTGGAGGTCATCCTGATTTTTGTCATACTTTTCCAATGTTGAGGTCATTTTTGGTTTAATTTTTTTTCATTTCAGGAATTTGAATTTTGCCCTACTCTAAGTTCTAATCTGGAGGTTATTTTTTGTAGTTTCATCAACTATTATTTTCAATTTAGGACTGTGATGCCTGCACTGCTGTTCTAGTGTTGAGGTTAGTTTTTCTAAAATTTGAATCAAGTTTTGTTTTTACTTCAGTTTGGATTGCAGTGAGAAAGATCATTCCATCTGTCTGTATCGTTTTTTTTTTCATATTTTATGATTAATATTAACTGTGTCAGAATCATGTCTGTAATTTTCTTTCTCTCTCATACCATAGATATATCTTGTAACTGTAGAATGTTGTTTTGCTACATGAATCATGTCCAAGTGTGGAGATTACTTAATCTGTCCAGACATGCTATGAAACTGTGTTCAAAACAACCCCATTCCAACTATTAACCTATATTGAGTAAAGAGAAAGCCTCTTCTCCAACACATTGAGGGAAACTTCCACATTGAAATCAATTATTGTAACAATTGGACAAGAGAACCTTTAAGTTTCTCAAGCAATCATTTATACATGTATAAAACCTAAAGGGGTAAATACAATTTTTTTTTCTTCACACAATATAGAATGTTTCATAACTGAAATTATCAGTTTAAACTAACACGGTAAGATAGGGAGAATGAAAAAAATTAAGTTTGTTTTACCAGTTATTATTAAATAGCAAATATGATTGCAGTTCTATAATTGGCTCAAACTGTATTGAACATGATGTTGAACATTTTGTTTGGAAAAGGAGGAATCTTTTTTTTTTGTAATTTTTTATATTTGTTTCTTTTTGTGGAGAAACACCACTCAGACTTCATATCCAATACCTATACTTTTATTTGCTTCTTTGAGCAAGAGTTCTTGGGAGAGAAGACGTTGATTAACCCTGTCATTGTGGAAGTCAAGAGTCCATAAATCTGTAAAATGACAAGAATTAGATAAATATTGAAGAAATATGATTTGTAGGAATTTTGTAAGCTTATTTATGGCCTAAAGAGCAGATTTCTCCATAGTCAGGTTGCTTTAAATTTGGTGTTAAGCACAAAAAGCATCTAAAACTCCATTCAATGTCCTGTCAAGTTTCTAAATGTAAATAATATTAGAAATTTTCTTTACTAGTTTGTTCTGGTTTAAATATAAAAAACCTTTTTGTGAATATTAAATGTATAATATTTGTTTGATTTCAAACCACTCCGATTCTCCTTAGGTTGTGGTTCACAAGTCATTATGAATTTGAAATTTTGTTACACCCATGAGTATCACTTGCTGTGAAGGTACTAACTTCAATAAAATTACAGATTTCACCAGTCGCGTTTACCTGTGTTAAAAAAAATTATATATGTATTCATCTTATGAAATTACATCCATTAAGTGTACTTTATTATTGTGGAGAAGCCATCATCTTTTGTATGCTACAGAAATCAGCTTGTTATGTGAAGTTTACATAAATTAAGGTGTTACATTTCAATTTATAAAAGTATAAGTTACAAAATATTTGTCCAAACCAGATAACTAATGAAAGTTGGGCTCAGTAATCAAATGACATTCAACTAATTTATTATTCTCACATAACAGTTGGAATAATCAAATATAGTAATAATTAGACACCAATTTCGATTAGTTTTAATGTTGGTGGCCTTAATCAACGTAATTGTAATTTATGTTATTTTGAGATACTAATTAATGCCCAGTGATAAATCAACCAACTCTAACCAAAATGATAATAGTTTTTTTTTTCAAAAACCAGTTGTTAAGAAAAGGTGATGCCTCTAGTATTCTTCCAAATGTATTCAAATCTTATTTATAAGCTGCTTTTGCATCAAAACAACTTTTCTTTTTATAGTTTAATAGTAACATAAAATTTTATTATAAAATTGTTTGGATGGAAAAATTTCAGAAACTAGATCATTTGGGATGCACTACCCATTCCTGCATTCCACCACCTAACACACACACACACACACATTCCCAAATGCTCTCTAGTTTCTGAAAATTTTCCAACCCTATAACTTTAGAATAAAATTTTTGTTATAATTGTCTGTACTTTTTTTTTTTATGATTAGCAGTACAGGTGACGTCATATATTGATTGATATGTGTATTGGACAATATTAAACAATCTGTATCATTTCATATATTTTGGGCTGTAACTAACCTATCATGGATCACTTGGGACTCTAGGTTTGAAAAGCACATCTTATGAAATAGTGAAGTTTGTTGTTGTGCAGGCTCGACGTAGGCACATTGTGGTTTATGAATTACAGCCGATGTTAACGAAGAAAGAAAAAAATCGATATTTTTGCAGCCCAATTTCTAGAAGCCAAGTAAGATTAGCCAAACTTTAGAGGCAATATTGTAATTGATTAGTTAAAGGCTTTAAGCTGTCCCTTTAGCTAGGTTTTGTCAATGTCCTGGCATTAGCACTACAGTGTACAAAATGTAAAGGCAACAATTTCAACCTGACTTATCCTTACATTGGGACAAATACCGCACTCCTTGATATTAACATGGCTGTCCGTAAAACATTAACTGAAATACCTTATGAAAAATACGACTGAGCAATCTACAAATGTCCTTTTATGATTTTTTCTTTTCATAACTAGATTTTGTTTTTCTGTCAGCATAACAAACAGTATTTATGACACACAATAACAACAACAAACAAAAAAAAAAATTTAATTTTTTTAAAATGCCAAACAAGTACACTGCACCTTTCAAGCCCAGTCTCCTTTATTTTTGAGTATTAAAAAGGCATGTTCTAATTTTATACACATCTTTGAGTATTGGTTTTATATTAAAGAAAATTACTGTCAGTTTAACTTATTGACATGGTTATACCAGTTTGTTTTAAAGTGTGAGCTTAATAAATTTTATAAAATTTGCTTTTACATATATTTACCACCCAATCTATTCAATAATAGTATAACGGAAAGTAATTTAAGAATACTCTTTCATAAACTTGTACATAATTTCTCTGATAAGCAATTTAGAGCCGTATTTGTCTGATAACTGTACCTGCTTATTAAGCAGTCATTAACGTGTGTAACTGAAGGAAAATTGTCATATTGCCTTTAAACAGATCGCTTGGTAGCATTGCTTAAAAAATACTACACCATTATCAAACTATTTATATCACGTTTTAAATATATGTATGTAGCTCACTTAGAAATACAAGTAATGATAGTTAAAGGATGCACAACTTGTTTTAAACCACAGAATATTCAGACTTTTCCAGTAAAGAAAAAATACATATGAAATATATTATTCAGAATTATCTTCTGTTGAATTTTTATTACAATCATTTAAGGGTGAAGATGGGTAATAAAGGGAAACCTTTAAATACAATTCTCAAAGATGAAATCTAGGGAAGAAACACTTGGATAACAAGAAATTAACAATTTTATCATTAGTTTAGTGTAAGTTTCAAGGAAATAAAGATAACTTTTGACATTAGGGAAAAGTTAAATCAGATAGTATTTCTACTGATTATCTCTCAATATTATGCAGGCATGATGCTAATTGAGTGTGCATCACGCAAAATAAGTATTGTGTCATTTAGCCCATAGATGCTTTCTACTATTTGTTAAACAAAGTAGCATTTTCCCCTGTATTAAAGAATGGGTGTTTTGGTAGCCATAATGTAATTTATATTAGTATCATAGCCACCCATTGTGTTTCCACATGTAGTCATGGTAGTGACAGCACAATTCTGACAACAGTCTCAGAAGATTGCTGTAATGTGCAAGTAAGGCTAAATGTGCCAAGGTAATTTTGTGAGTTTATTTACTTTAGATAAAGTATTGTTTATTTACTTGTTCAGTAATCAGATCTGTACATCATTAATTGCTGATCCAGAATGACATACTGTTCTTTTATAGTAAGACAAAAAATGTGCTTATAAAATAAGCGTTATAAAGTCACTGATATGGGGAAATTAGTAGTATTATTTAAGATATGACTTGCTTCGTAGTTATATAATGCTGACTGAATTAATGTATATCAAAACACTATCCTGCATATTGTCAGTCTTTTCTTTAGAAACTGATAGATCAAGGAACATTTTATTATGAGTTTGTAACATTACTATTATAATTAGAAAAATGTAAAAATATAATACTACTGTAACAAGCAGCCTTGAACGTGAAGTAAAATGAATGGTTGTTCTTGTTTCCAAGTTAATGATCTCATTTAATTATTTGAAAAGGTCTTTTGACTATTGTTAGTGAAGGAGTGCAATACTAATTTATTAACACTATAAAATTAAGATAATGAATGTGATGCTGGTAAGCATAAAAACTGAATACAAGTTATGATTAATGCTTAACTTTAACAAGTTTCATTCAAGTTAAATATTTTTTTATGAGTAAAACAAAGCATAACAGTGATATATCTTCACAGCTGTATGAATGACACACTAATATTCAAATTAAATTGTTGGTATATTTTCAATGATTTTAAAACACCTGTCATATGACCTTCCTTTAATTTGGGTTAGACCAATTTTGAAGAATAACAAAAAGTGATGTAAAAAATTTGTAACAGGCAAACTGAAGGTAGTTGACTATTCTCACTGTTGGATACCAACTAAATTGCAGTAAGTTCAGAGGACACTCCAAACTTCTACCCCTAACTAATTACTCAATACTATAGTATTGTAAGTGGCCAGTATAATCAGGATTCACCAGCTTGAAAAGGGCATTCACACAATAGCAATTATATCCCAGCCAACCTAAAGAGCTCTGGATTGAGTGAAACATTGTTAGCAATGGATATGGTGAATGTAGTGTGGTTAGAATACTATTATTATATACTCTTTATAATTTTTAAAAATCCCCACGGGACTAGATAAAGAATGTAATGCTAACAAATATTATAGACCTAATACTACTGTCTTATGGCAAGTATAATTAATTGCTGGCATATTCTTATATAGTTAAAAATACAGTTTAATTTTGAAACAAATGACCAAACATCAATATAATTACATTCACAGGTTGATATCCCCCAAATGATAGTCATGATGCAAAGTCTTCAGTCTTTCAAAAATATTTTTGAAACTACACACTATATTTCTAGTTAAATGGCACAGATAGCATTGTAATATGAAAAAAAAAGCTATCCAGGTGACAACTTGGTGTTTTCTAGAAATAAAAAAATAACACCAATGAAGTAAAATTATGTTAATTCATAAGTGCTTAAACTTAAACCAAAATAATTGAATTTAGGATTGTAAAAATTAATTCTTAAACAGGGTCTCAGCACTAAAAGTATCCAGAAACACGCAGATACACAATCTTTCAGGTGCAACTGTTCCAGTCCAAAGTATCTGATTGTGACATTGATAAAACATTTTGTTAGTTTGCCTTTAAATATTTCAAGGTATTACAAATAGGTATGGTAATGAAGTTATATAAAGTGTGTTATGTACTTTTTAACTAAAACAAAATGACCACTTTCATTAAAAGACTAAAATTAAAGTATCAATTTTTATATTTTACAGTGAACATGTTTAAGGTTTGTTCAATATATTTCCACTTAATTTAATCAAAATGATGCTGATATGAAACATCACTAATGATACATACTACCTGCAGCATGACACATCAATACCATGTAATAAAGTTTTATTATACGTTACCAGAATTACAGCAGTTTCCATTTTAATATCTGAAGCAATGAAAAAGTGAAATAACTACACACACACACCAATTGATTAAAAGAACTACTTAAAAAAAATTATGATCTTTTCCAATTAATATAAACATCTGTAACACAAACCACTGATTAAAGCACTGCTATCTTTGGAAGCCAACACCTTATTCCAGCAAATCTGGATCAAAGACAGCAGGCATCAGTGGTAAGAACCTAAATGGCTGAAAGGGTGAACATGATAAATTATGTCTCCTTGGTTACAACCCAACAGAAATAAGAGTGCATTAAATTGTTGAAATATTCTCCATTGTGTTTAAGTAAAAATGGAAACAGGAGACAATATAGATTTTTGATTCAGCATTTACTTCTACTCCAAGTTCAAAATTACAGGAAATATGAACCCAAAAATTCTTTTATACAAGAATAAAAGTTCAATGGAAAACAGAATTATTAAATCTAGGCAAATTGTACCCTTTCCCATCTGAATCAAAAAATTCAAATCTGTATTTAGGGAGGAAATAAACACATAAAACTTTGTATTACAGACTAGATTTCTTTCATTTTGTCAAAATAAAGAATAGAAACTACAAACTCAGAGATATAATGTCAAATGTATGCCAACTGAAGACTTAGACTGGTAAGTTTTTTTTTTTAAGTCAACACTGATTTAAAAAGAAAAACTAATGGAATCTAACTTTTTTTGCTATTAAAATATGATGATTAAAGAGCTATACTTTTCTACACAGTGTCCATCACATCATAAAGAATCAGAGTTGACACTACTTAACAGTGCTAATCAGTCATAATTCTTCACACAATTGGTGTATTATTTAAAGTAAGGTTTTCAAACTGTTTTAAAGTACTTCAGTGTTTGTTTTCCAAACTATGGAGCTCACAAGTGTAAAGAAATGTATATCACTGCAATCTTTCCATTCTATGTTTAGACCTTTGGTTATATAATTATGAGGGCAATTACTATTTAATGTTAAAGTTTTAGACAAAGAAATATTTCTGATGTATTTAGTACCTGACAACCATCAAAAAGAAATATATTTGATCAATTTATGTAGAACAATGTACTTCTGAATAAATTAGACTGTGTTCATACACAAAAAAAATACCAGTAGCAAAATACTACATCCCACCACTACTAATTAATACCTTAAATCTGTACAGGACTATTGGAAAATGATCTAACTGTAAACCATACTAACTAATTTTTTGGTCTTCAGCACAAAGCAGAAGCTACAGTATGCAAAACAAACCCCTAAATGTAACTGAAGTTAGTCCTAACATTCTTTTTATTTAACATGACTATCCATTTACAAATTTTATATCTACCTATCTACCAGTGCTAATGATATAAACTAGGGGTTTTTGAAACTATATGGGTATCCCCACGGGAGGAATGATGAGAGGTGCAAGGACCTGAGTAGTTAAGAATTTTCTTCCCTTAAAATACTGTTAGCAAAAATAACATTTCCTTTTCAAAACAGTTTCATAAAAAGTGAGTGCACAAAAGACATGAATTTTTGAAGGAGGTACTGAAAAAAAAACGGGAACCTCTCAGCTAAGCAATCTACCTAATGCACGTGACAGAGCTAACTTTCAGTTGGCATGCCGCACAAAGAAGAATCATATATCATGTCCACCCTAATAAATGACTAGGAGACTGTTAAGAATATAGAAACAAACACAAAATGAAACAGAGAAACTTGATTTGCAAACCAAATAATGCTGGAACCTTAAATTTCTTCTGCACAATAAATGTTCATATAAAGATTTGGGGAGGGGAGGGGTGTAGAAAGACTTTCAGATTAAAACCTATTAACAAAGGCCATTGTAAATTTCAAGATTATAAAAATGTCCCCCCCCCCCTAAATACTAAGACGTTTTAAGTGCTATAATAACAAAAAGAATTGTACTCAAGACTGTTTATAATTTGTTACACTTCAATGTCCACTTCATGCTGAAAGAGTGAATAATACTCAATGCTGTAATCATTATGTTTTAGTATTCTAGAGTACAAACTGTGAAGGTGAATTATACCCAAACTTGTAACTATTGGGCTTTAGTATTCTAGACTATAGGTCGTGAGGGTAAATTATACCCAAACTTGTAACTGTTGGGCTTTAGTATTCTAGACTACAAACTGTGAGGGTGAATTATACCCAATACTTACAACTGTTTTGCTTTAGTGCTCTACTATGAAACAATGAGCAGGTTATATACAACAATAGTTAATGTTATCCTTTAGTGTTCTACTTCTACTGGTATGAAAGTGGTTCGTACTCAGTATTGGTTATTGTCTTGTTTTGATGCTACCTGCTAAAAACATTTTGATGAAATTCTTATCCAATGTCAAATTTGAATTGTTTTCTTTTAAAACATACAAATACTAATTTTGCATTTTATATTGACTACTTTCCTACATGTATGCTATACCTAATTAACATAATGTTGAGACAGACTTACTATAGGTAAATATGGTAAAGTTAATTCCATACTTATGTTTTTTAATTCATGTATTCTACATGTTACGTAATAACTAATGATTTAAAATGAAAATGTGATATTATAAAACACCTCTTATATTACGAACAGCCACTTCCACAAAAGCATTTTTTATATCATAACTGAAACACTTTAAAATATCAGTATTGTACATATGTTGACTTGTGTATTTATTACACAATATTATCTAATCACATTTTCCAATGTTTACATCTTGCTTTTGTAATAAGTATTACTGAAAAAAGGGGTCTAATTAAAATAACAGAACAGACTGAAGCAATGTTAAGATTGAAATATACACTAAGAATGAAAAACTCTCTTAGCAGACTTAAAACATTCATATTTTTCAAATTTTACAGAACATTGTCTGTATCTATGTTACTCCATAGCATTTTGGTACAATAAAGTAACTAAGTCTTTATTAAATGTTATGAAGCATCCAGGGGATGCAGAACTACCTTATAGAATGACTACAGTTGGAAGTGATGAAAATATCAAGTATATTTTGTTATTATACATATCCCCCCCTCCAAGAAAATAAAAGTTTGATTGTACAAATTAGTAAATAATAGCTCAAATGTAAATATGCAAGCTTTGTTTGACACTGATAAGAGTACTGTTTCAGAGATATTTAAATGATTTCTGACACTTCTTTAACCTATAAAAGAGGAATGCCTACAATAATTTTTATGTAATTACTTTAACCACTTACTTTATTTACACACCAGTAGAAAGAACAATAGAACTTGCTTATACCTGGTATATACAGTTATCTCAGTAAATTTAAAAAATGTGATTACATCATTAGCCTAAATAAAGCAAATCAATTCAGAATTAGTAACTTCCTAAAAGTTACAAACATACATTAAACGTATAACTGGTCAAAGTTAAATCAATTAATTGAATACATAATATAATGAAAAACTTATTTCAAGATTCTGTATATTAAGCTTTTTCCCTACAACTATTACTGATGAAATACAATACCATACAACACGTTATAGTTGGGAGTATGTAAGCTAATGAACTTGTACAGAAATATCTAAGTAAATAGACTATTCTGCTAAAAAAATCAGTAGAAAAACACAGCTTGATCAGTTTCTGTTGCTACTCTACTGGTGCACCAACAGCATGATGAAGGTTAATTATTTGTATCTCACTGATGTTAGGTCCTGCAAACTCAACAAACACATTATTTTCATCCTTTTCCACACTACGCTTGTTAACTAGAAAAAAATAAATTTGAAATAATACATAATTAACTCTCTTGCATATGACATACTTAATCAAAAATTATGTCTTTTATAAACAAAAGAAAAAACCTACCACATTTGCATTTTTGCTTTGAAAACATGATAAAACTGGACAATTAGTGGAATTTGCTAATTGATTAATCGCTGCTCTCATTAACTGATTACAATCAACTAATTATTCTCACCAAATTTTCAATATTTGGAATAATCCAATACAGTAATAACTTGAATTAGTTGATTTTTTTCATGATTTGTGACACTAATTGATTGGGCTGGACAACTTTGAATTCATTGAAATTAATGAGAAATCACAGAGACAACATTTCAATTACTTGGACAGTTGGAATAATGAAAATTAGTTACAATCAGAAACATTCCAGGTTTGCCCCTGAAGAAGAAAGGTCCACCTTTTGAAAGTGCTCGTGTTATAGGGATTTTATTCATTTCAATCAAAAACATTAATATTGATTAGGTGATTATTTTACAATACTAATTGATAACATATCTAAGATAATTTTCAGTAATAGCATACAGTTATTTCACAAATTCTCTAAAAAAAAATCAAAGTTTTGGCTAGCCTTTCGGAGAGAGAGAGAAGAAAAATAAAATAGTGTGAAATTAGTAATGTGTTGTGCTTCATTCCTGAAAAAACATGAAGTGCTGAACCTGCCATTAAACTCCTAGAAACAGTTTGATTTGGGACTCGAAGAATAAAAAAAAATATTTCTGGACTAGTAAGAGTCCAGAACTGTTGTAGATTTGAGTTCTGTTTAGCAAAGCTCCATGCATAAATAAAGTGAGAAAATACTAGGTGCCACAGTGGAATTTTTAGTTGCCATGGCGGCCTGGCACCCAGGATCTGTGTAGGCCTGAGTTGAGGTTTTTACTTTCTTGTTGCTTTTGCTTAAAATAACAAGTAGACCTAAGAGTCGTCTTTTTTTATTACTCTATTAGAAATAACAGGCAAAGAAAAGGATTGTGATTGACTGTTAAAATTACATGCAGAAATTAGTGTTATGCTTTGTGGCTGTTGTAATTAAAAGTGATATGATCTTTTCGGTGGATCAGGTATAGTTTTTGTCTGTAGAAGTATCTGACATTTTCAATGGATATGGCTATGTTTGTCAATTAAAATTTTTGTTATCAATCAATGAGTTTTGGACTTCCATTTCAATTCAACCAATCAGTGCACATGTTTAGACTCGGACATCACCAAAGGAAGTTAGTTCAGGCAATACTATCAAGTGGTTGTTGATATCATGCAATAGTTAGCATGTATTCGTTGCTGTGAAAGCAAATAAATATATATACACTGGTGCCTTGATTATTCACACTGGTCTGAGGAAAGCAAAAAATCATGGATAACAGAAACAACAGATAATCTAGGCACAAGTGTATCTCACTAGTTAGACCATTGTTTAATCTAAATAAAATTTTAATATACTGAAGTTCCTTGTTTTAAATTATAATCTTTTTATTGTTGTTTAATGATGAAAAATTATAAAAGTTGTCACAATCATGAAAGTCAAGGATCAGTCAGTCATACTCGATTTCTCTGAATTTCATGAGTTACACGAGTCCAATTCCACCTTTTCTTTTGTAATACTTCCTTTTTTTATTGAATTTAATAGCTAACATAGGTACAAATAGCTCCTAAATTTCCACACTTTTTCTGCTATAGACACAGAAGTGCATTTGCACCCTATCAACACCTATGAAAAATAAGTCAAAAATTAGTGCAAATCTATGCTTAGGAATTATTATGAAAAAGCCTTTGTTAAAACAGACTGAAGATACTAACTATCTGTAGGAAAGAAGGCAATGCTTGACAAGGCAACATCCCATCACAGCCTGAACATGCATCTGTTGTTAAATGACACCCGTCATGCAGCATAAAACATCGGATGACAACTGTAATTGAGTGAAATCTAAGAAATCTTAATGCGCATTGTGTGTGCTTTTGTATACTGCGTTTTTAATCATTAATCAAATAAAGTTAACCAAGCTGCAAATTTTGTATTCCTGTCTTAACAGCTAAAAATAAAAGAGGCAAGGCTAAGGCTTGAACTGGCCAACTTACAATTTGAATGTACATCAGATCCTGCACGCAAAAAAATCCCAGATATCATGCAACATCTGATCTTTTGCAACCAATACTATGTTCTGTGCGACAATTTCTCCAAAACATGTAAATTATTGTTCAGAATTGTAATGGCACAGTTATTTTGAAAAATTTGGGGAAAATAATTCTGCTTATTTTTAAAGCACTTGGAAAACAATTTTGATGCCTGTTTGTTGTAATAAGCAAGGTTATGCTGAGGACAACCCATATTCTTATATTTAACAAGAAAATGTATATAAAGAATCTATGCTTACTATTCAAAAAGGCAATGAAGAATGCAAAACTATAACAATAAAAACACTGGAGAAGCACAATCCCTTTTCTGTTTCTCATTTGGAGCAAATGTCACAGTATATTTAATTAATAGTTATATTATTACCAACAATCAGTTAATAATTAATTGTAGGATGATTATGCCTAACCAATCAAAAACATGGTTTTATAAAAAATTAACACCATTACTTTTTAGTTTACATTTAGCATTGTGTATTTCTTTAACATACTTACATCTCTGAGGTCTGTTTGCATTAGCTTTTGAAATAGGCATCCTTTCCAGATGATATGTAGGGAAAGCAGAGCAAGCCCTTGCAATATGATATCCCATTATTTTCTTGTCAGTGATAGGTGGTGTAATAACATACATTCTTTCTCGGACAATTTCTGTGTTCACATCATAATAGCCAGCCTATTAAGAAAACAGTATTGAAACAATTCATTAAATTGTGTCGTACTAGACCAGTTAATTTGTAATAGTTACATTAAATGGGTCGTGTGTCGGTAGGTCTATAACTAAGAAGTCTTCTTGGGAGTTTTAACACACAAACATACACAGGTGTCAGTACTAAAAAGAAACAAAAATATTTGCTGCAAGTAGAAGTAATATTTTACTTGTATCAAAAAATTTAAACTTGTGCTAGTCCCATAACTGAAGCAAACTTGCTTTACCCATTCCATTTATCCCTGTGTTAAATTCAAAATTTAATTATACACTTTTAATATCAATATATGTGAATGAATTTAATATTATAATGTGTGTTATGAGTTGAAGTTTTAAAAATCTCTACTTTGGCTCTCTGTATCTTCAATAATACAATGGTAATAGAGTAGAGGTATGTCTAGCCTCTAAGATGCTTACATTACCTTTTGAGTCGTTCCTTTCAAAGTACTATGAATGGACAGTTAAGACAAGTAATAAATATTTTAAATCCCTGACAGCTGCCACACCCACCTTCAACAAATTTGTTTGAGCTTTATCACTTCCATGTAGATGTTACATACACATATATATAACCATTAGAAAGAGCTCATTTTAGAGTATAAACTCAGTTATTTTGAAATTGGCAAGAATTCTGTCACAGAGTACACGAAATTGACTATAGTATTGTTGGCTGCTTGATACACTATAGCATTTATGGTTGTTTCTTACTGAAATATGATATAGTTGGAGTTTCAATTGCATTTATGTCTTATTTTTATATTGTAGTTAATTATGTATTAGTTGTGTTATAAAATGCATCATTAAAAGGTTACTCTCTCAAGATGGGCTCGGTCTATTTAACGCTATTGCCCCGGGTATCCTTTACTGCGCATGACACAAGGTTTTAGTGTCAAGATGAATAACAAGTTGTAAAAGACAAGAAAGGAAAATAAAACATTAAAATTAACTAAGTGAAAAGAAAAAGAGATGAATTTATGAATTTAATAGAAGGAAACTATTTAAAGATATTCTACAAAAAATTAAAAGGCATGTATTTTTTTTTATATTTCCTAATTTTAATTATTTTGTTGCACTGAATGTTTATGGTAATAACTAGAGTTAGTGATATGGTAGAGAAAATGAAAAATAAAAGAATTTGCATTGAAACTTTTGATATCCTTTTAGGAAGGTCTAGAGGTTATGCCAATCAAATATAAAACTAGAAAATGAAGAAAAATGTTTTTATACTTAAAATGAAAATCACCTTGCACTGAATTTGTTAATAGTTTGAATGTGAGTAAATATAATAGAAAAATAACATTTTTAGTAAAAACTATGATAAAACCACCATTATTTGTGTACAAGGTACTTTAACAGAATCTTACCAGTTTTTGAGAGAATATGTTAAGAAATCTCAAGAGTTATCGCATGTATTTTTGTACAAATGAAATTTGCCACTCAATTTCTGCAAATTGCATGAGCCCACGTTTTAAAAGGCTGTGCCATCAGAAGCTCTCCCAATATCAGTCTAACAAGATGTTCTAGTTCTGCTATCCTTAAAACCATACTTCATGGTCTTTCTCCTCTACCAATAAGTTACCACAATGTTCAGATCATTCCCACTCAGCCTTACCATCATCAATCAAGTCCATAGTGTTGAACTACTTAATCTGGACCTGAAGTCATCCTTTACTCTTTGCATAAGAGAAATTCTTTTTTACCTCCGGAGATGATGTAGGAATAACTAAAGACAACTACAGAAATTCAGGCCAGATACAGAAAGTAAGAGTTGTAGTCCTATCACTATAAAAGGTCCTGACTTCAAGTAGACAGTTTAGTGAATTCTTAATGGAGACTTTCAGTCTAGTTCTTGAATCTTATACACACACACACACACACACACACTCCAGAAAATATCTATACAGTCATTTTTAAGATCAAACTTTACAATAAACATCTACATGAAAGTACCAATAAAAACAAGTTAATTGATTGTTAACTTTATAAATGAATGATGAAGGTAAACTTTGAGCAGGAGTGTCTAATGTTGTCTAGAATCTTAACTTACCTCCATTTTCAACATCAGATCAACTAAAGAATGTGGAGGGTAGATAAGCTTACGGTTGAGTGGCATCACAAAACACCGTCTTCCTTCTAGATCCACGATTCCAGTTTTGTTCTGTAAATGGGTTAAACATAATAAATATGAATAACATTACCCTACATGAAACTTAATTTATCTCAATATAATATATATATAAAAAATGAAATATTACAATGAAATGGGAAAATCTACCTTGGAAACCAAAGCAAACTTAGCCTATATCATTGCAGGAGCAGAGATTTAATAGATGATGTTCCTGTGCTTGTCCTCTGTCATATTTTGTTTTGTTTGTACTAACTGTCCTATATGATTTCCAGTGGATATCTACGCTGAAATTTCCGGTTTCAAGTTTTACTACTTATACTCATATTCTGTGTATAAGGTAGATAAATAACTGGAGCAGGTATGTTATTACGCTTGGTACTAGTGGGACTTTTCTGCTGCTCATGCTGTGTTTTATAAAGTTGTAAAGGTAGTCATTCTGTTTGAAGCACCATATGATATATAGATGGCCATCCTTGATGGAACGTTTGTAACAGATGTTTTCAACTCTATTACTCAGGCAAGAACATCACAAAAAAGAAATCATTACCACCAAGGATAAGAACATACCTGTTATAATTACTTACCCACTCTATATGTGTAGAATGTGAATGAAAAATGAAATGCATGGCCAGAAATATCAGACTACATCTATGAAATCCCTTCCTTCTGCAAAGAAAACAGAACTACAATGGGAAGACAACATTTCTGATTTAAGAATAATAAAAAAAAAACAAACAACAATAGACAATGCAACACTACCAAAAACACAAAACTACAATACTGCAAACATTTTCTGTAACTGAACATAAAATCAATCAACAAAGAGGCTCCTTGACACAAACAAGTTCTAGAAGACCAGGAAAGTTGAGAAAGCTTTCTCTCTCTCGTCACACACACCAGAAGAAATGTCACCCTATGGGCAGCTGTTCAGTCAAGATCTTGGAGAGCTGAATGATATGCCTCTCCATCACAAAAAAGTTTCTGACTTCTTATAACTGTATCTTGGTGAGCAATTTGATGTGCTTCTGTATTTTGGGTTTGTTCTTGGCTTCTTCTCACTGGATTTTACATCACAACTTGGTGAGCAAGCCTATCCCTTTTTCTTTCTGTAATTTGTATGCTGATGTTTCATTTTCTTTCTCAAAGTTTCAGACTTTCTCCATGATAAGTTACTTTTCTATTTGGCAATTTTTTTTGGCATTATGATTTTCAATGTTTTTGATCCCTTTTTACTCATACAGAAGTAAAAAAAAACTTACAAAGACTGAGTTGCTAAAAATTCCTGCAAATTTGTATGCAACAAACTCTGTACAAATGATTTGCAATTCCTTCGGTCACAAAACAAATTAATTCATAGTGTATGCTTGGTTTCTCCAGCAGAAAAAATCACTTTTCTGTTGAAATATCACAATGATTCTCTACTAGGAAGATTCATTAAAAAAAATTGTGCTAAACTCACTTTACCAAAATTTTAGAAGTTTTATTAAAAAATTAATTTTGTTGATAATAATAAATGTACAAAATTAATGTACATTATTAAAAGGAAAGAAGTACTACTTCTCCATTAAGGAAGCGATTTAGGAAAAAGTTAATGATCAACACACACACACAACTACCATTCAACACAAAACTAGACCACTTAATCAACCGATGAGATTTCAGTAATACCAAATAATCATACACCCACATCACTATGTCCTCATCAAATAACTTGTAAACTAAACATATTCAATTTTTATTCTGACCTAAAGACAGAAGATTTCCGAAATGTCATCATCTTAGCCTTCTTTATTTAAACCCCTTTTCAGTAAAGCTTTACTATCTGTGCAATAAATTTATATCCATTTTCACCCTTGTTTTGTCATGAATTTTTGCATATGTTGTTTTTATATTGTAGGTTATGAAATATCAATTAAGAAAGACTATCAGGTTTGTACATACACAAGTAATTTCTGAAACCTGTGAATCTATTTTCCAAAATTCATGACATTCTATTGTCCAACAATCACTGATTATATGCTGTCAGGTTACTCTGACTCTGCAAACATTTTTACAGATGACTTTTAGTGTACTCTTTGGAACTTTAGGCTTAAATTTAATTAAAATGACTTAAAATAACAGTCCGTTAAATGTGCCACTGCAAAAATAATGGTATTTTCTAAAGATTCCTTTTTCTAAATGCACAGAGCAAAAACACAATAGAATACTGTAAAATCATTATATTTCTATGAATCTATATTTGATAATTACAGTATTGAAAATTCTGCAGCAAATTTTTATGTTAAAATATATATTTACATTCAGACTCATGGGTTTTTAGTTTTTATGACCTCTTTCAGTTTCAAGCAAAAATAGAGGAAGAGAAAACAGATAAAGGGTTTTAAAGGTTTCATTGAGAGTTTGTTAACTGAAAAATTTCATTTCCTATTGTACCTATAACTACAAGTAAATTCAATAAATCAGAAATATGAAAATCTAATACAAATTTCTTAAGTGACTAAGGTCTTATGAAAAAAGTCAAGAAACTTAAATTTCAATGCAAGTAAAATGGGTATGTGTAAACTGTAAATTAATTTATACTGTACTATTAACTTTACAAGTACCTGGTATATACATACAGACTTTCTTAATACTTATAAAAGTTCTGCTAGCATAATTAATATGCAATGGTAAAGAGTACAATAGCATTAACTGTGCATGTAAAAATAGTTTTAAATATAACTGTAGGCTATAGTATGACACTAATTATAAAATTCAATGGCCTGACTGTTATTGCTACCCAGTGTTTCAGTTTCACCATAGTTAAAGGATTAATATACACCATATTGTATATTAGGGATTATGATTTCAGAACAAGAAATTGGTTATAAACTATTAGAATTAGAAGCCTTTATGTATAATTAACCTTGTATAAACAGCCACATCAATCTTGGCAACTTGGATCTCAAATATACTAATATGTATCTGTGTTCTGCTTCGTTAAGAGTATTGTATTTTATAATTTTGTGTTCAGTTAGATACTGAGGATATTTCACACTTAAACACACACACACATATATATATATATATATATACATACACACACACACGCACACACAATGCTATGGAGTACATTAATTGTTCTTAGGCGATTAAAATCAGCTCTATAAAACAATAATGAACTTAGTGTAAACCAGAAACAACATAATAAAATTGAAACTCAAACCACACCTCAGCTACCATTCTTTGCTGTTGTCCTTAAGACAAAGACCTTCATGACTTAACCCATTCCAGATGGGTCACAGGTCAAAAGCCATGTCATCGGATTTGTTGACTCGCATTCAAAATCTTATTGAACTACTATTTTATGAACTTGTGTCATTAAGTTTTGTATCCAACAGTAGATTATCATTCACATTTTCATATTATACATTATTTAATTTCTTAAAAGTAAATATTAAAAAACACACCTAAACATCAATTTTGTGTTACGTGGTATGTTGAATGCAGCAGTGGTTCAAATTAGATGTTTGTAATGTCTAAATTAAAGTCTATAGTTTTGTACAAATTAGGAACTTAAATTACTGATATTGACAAGCTAGAATATAAAATAAGAACCTCCTATCTTTTCTATTTGCTGAGATATTGCTCATGTACTGAATCAAATAGTGGCCCTGGCTGGTAAGTTGGGTCTTTAGCCTGTTTGAAATTTCATATTTTTTTAGACCCAAATACAGCTTAGTTACTAAACTTGATAAATTATAATGGAATTCTATGGTATCGATATAGTAATTTATGATTTTTTGTTATTCAGATGTATATGTATAAAACCTAAAAAAGTTATTTGGTTTCACAACCTCCACCTGCAAAATTTCTTAAGGCTTAGCAAGCAACAACAAGCAGCAACCAAGTACAAAGGCTGTAACTAGAAGAGAATTGTTTGTCTTACTTTGTTTTTTACTGTTCTGTTTTTAAGAACTTGTTTGTAAATAGTAATAATCTATATACATATAT